GCAGCAGCAGTCATCGTCGTCGTCGTCGTCTTCGTCTTCGTAGTAGTAGAGGAAGTGGAAGCGGCAGTGGAAGTGGTAGCGATAGTGGTCGTTTCTGTTTTTGCTATGTTGTTGCTGTTGTAGTAGTAGCAGGAGGTGCAGGATGAGCAGTAGACTTAGGAGCAGGAGCAGGCCTGCCACCTCCCGACGCCCCTGCTGCTGCTGCCACAGAGTTGCATTACATAATAACCTTGATAACCACTAGGACCATGTGAACCCACCACTAGTAGCCAGCATCATCATCGGCAGCCCTCTCTCGTGGGCACGGCTGGTACAACCTACTTCATCACCGGGCCGGCTTGATGCCCAACCATGTACCATCGTCCACCTAAGTGCTTCGAGATGCTGGGCCGGCGGGTGGGCATTGATACCGGGCTGCTGGGCGGTAAGGCCTGTCACAATTCTACTTGGTTGACAGCTCACACCTACTGTGCCCGCTATAGGCTTGGTGTTCGGCTGCTTCTCGTGCCACGTGCTTCAAGACGCTGCACGACTACCCACTAACAGGTTTCGTGACCACAGGAAAAAACAGAGCTGCAGGCATTCAGCCAAGTACGTGCGCTGATTGGCATGTTTATCTCTCGCAACTAAGACCTCTCCTGGTCAAAAAGCAGAGTGCTAGGACTGCTAGGAAAGGCAGAGACAAGTATGTTACAGTTCAAGGCAACCCATGACGTCACGATTCTTCATAATTGTTTAAAATGCCTTTAAAATCGTGCGGGAACTGATCATGTTGTTCTTTCGGTAGTAATTATAGGTAGTGCGCGGCAGCATTATTCATCATTCTCCTGCGGTTTCTCAAGGTGGAAACAGGCAAGTGGCTTCGACTGCGGGCGAAGGTGTTGGTCGCCTCATGCAGGCCACCGTTGCTGGTCTCCTAAGCCAAGATTTGACTTACAAGGCTGCATTGTAGGGCTCTCGGCAGAACTATGAAGATCGATTCTGAGCATTGTCCAGGGAAGTTGATTGTTTCCTTGCCCGACGTGGCAATGGCTTTCGATTCTCACAACTTGGTGAACACGGCCTGGTTCTTATGGCTTCGACTCCCACAAGATCTCTCTTCACCGAAGCCCCAGTGCTCTCGTCAGATGCGAACGAAGGCGAAGGCGAACTCACATTGGAGGCTCCCTGCTCCCAATTGCTGGGCAGTTGATGTGGACACTTTGAATTGGCTGGCTCTCTCCCGTGTCTCCAATCTGCATACGACCCGGGACTGAGTAGCAGTACGGCATACCAGTTTACGAACACTTTGGGCCAAAACTTCAATGTTAGAGTTATTAGAGTGTCATGCTCGACCTTGCATTCGAGATTCCTCCTTGCAAACTACCACCGCCATGTCTGAGGAGGTAAGCAGAACCTCGGAAAAGATGTCGGATCAAGCTGCGTGTCGAATAAGCATGTTTCTCTGTTCAGCCTGACTGCACCTAGACCTTAGCAGCACCCCTAGCACTGAAGATCAGAAAGGTTCTTGCACACACTCTTCTGAAACTATCGCTGAGCCTTCAAACGATGTCTGACAGTCCAAAGTCCAGGGTCATGTGTCGGTGGGAGGTGCTGAAGGCCTCTGCAAAGCCTGGCTTGAGAAGACTCTCCCAAGCCAGCCTTCTGCCGACTTTTCTGTCAATGCGCAGGTGTTCGGGGTAAATGGAGGTTCTGTCACTGGCACAACAGAAGCTCAGCCTCTCACCTGGGCTAACCCCATCTTCGCCCACTTAACTGATGAAAGTGGTGGATTGAAGGTGTTCTATTCTTTGTCAACACAATATATATATATATATATTTGTGTGTGTTATTATATACGTATATATATATACACACATATATACACATGTGTGTATGTATGTATGTATGTATGTATGTATGTATGTATATATACATACATATGTGGTGTGTGTGTGTGTATGTATGTATATATATATATATTATATTCACACAAAAATGTACACAACACACGCACAAGTCGCACGTCCATCATCCCCAAATAATGCTGAATGTTTTTTACGGAAAGCAGCCTCCTCCGAGGATGTGGTCACTGTGGGCAGCGTCGTCGAGCTAAAGATTCGAAACCAACCTCAAGACATGTTTGTGTTTATACATGTTCATGGTTCCAGGGCTTGAGGAAGGGTTCGGGGTTGCTCGGGGGATTCAATGAATGCTGGCTTGAGCCACTCTGATAATTTTGCGGTGTGTGCACGGTCAAGATGACGGCCAGAAGCTATAGGGCGTGAACTCTGCAGCTGTGTAGAACGGAAAGCAGGAAACCTCTGAGGGCTTGTGGTAGAATTGGATTGAAACTTTTTCTCGATGACATGGATGGATTTCGTGAATTGTCTTCGAACTGCCTTCGATGACAATCTCAACACCCGTGCCCGTATGCTGCTACGTGCTTGATGTGGACCAAGTGGCTCGTCAGAATGTCGCTGCGGCCGACCATCCTCCTCCAAAAGTCAGCTCAATTGGGGGAGGGGAGGGCAGCGGCAGCACACCCCGCGGTCCAGGCTTACGGGAAAGACAGACAGAATCGCTAGACTTCGTTCCTGTGACAGACCAAAGCAAAGGGGTTTCTGCTCTGCTGCGCCCCATCGCCTCCGAAATTCTCCCCGCACAAACAGGAACCGTCACGAGCCCAAACGACCCTGCCGTGCGGCCCCATGAGTTCTGCCCAGGCGCGAGCTGTCTGGGTGCGTGCACACGCAAGTGATGCCCGAAGCGTCTTCCTGGAGCTCACTGCGAACAAACCTTCTGTACGAGCGGATGACAAAGATACCTTCAATTCAACATATTCCCCCGAAGCCTATTGCGCCTCCACGCGTTTAACTTTTTCGATCCAGTCCTTGTCGTTGAAGAACAGCAAAGGCCCCCACTTCGAAACGCTGCTGGCCCAGAGATCGCTCATGGCATCCAGATCTCTGTTGTTGAAGCAGGCATAGAATGCCTAGCAGGAAAGTCACGGCTCTGTCTCGGGCTCTGGGTCCCTTCTATGCTTGCCTTCCTTGCAACTTCACCTGAGGTATAATCCGTTTCCTAAGCTATCGACGAATCGACGCGACGATAATCTATGAAGCCAGTGCTCTCCGATGTTCTCGGGGATTCCAAACTGAAGATGCCTCTGCCTTTTCTTGCTCGACCCTGTGACCCTTGCATGACATATTACTTCCATGGTAAATCCCCCAGAGGTATCTCAGAGAGGCCTCGGGGCTCTACAGACAAAGGCCTAGCCATGGGCCTTTCGCCTTCAGGGTTACAGTAGGACGTACAGCAGGCCTTGGAGTCTAGGGCCCAGGGTTCCTTCACCCTCTGTCTCCAAACTGTTAAGCCCGGGTTCGCAGAACATGTTCTCCTCGAGAACCGTCTCTGAGTCAATACCCCCAAGCATCACGACCAAAGACCGCACTACATGAACTCCCTGAAGCCGAAACGGTAAAAAAATCCCGAAGCCTAGCCGCGTTGATACAGAGAGGCCTCATAAGGATTGTAGGCTTGTACTGAAATCATTGCCGCCGCTTTTAAAAGACCCCAGAAAAGGCCTGGTTGGCTTCGAGCACTCCCGCCCGAGCATCTTGGAGCTGCCCCCAAGGATCCTCCTCTTTGGGGGGGCTTTGCGCGATGAGGCTTCCAGGATTTAGGTGGTGTTATTTTCATAGGGTGTAGGGGTTCAAGGGTTTCCGACTTCAGGCGAGGTGGCTTCGGGGTTTAGGGTTCAAGGTTCGGGAAGCTTGGCGATGCCAGGGGGCTCTTCTTGAGGATGTTAGGTTGTCCTTCTCATGATCTTGATGACGTGGTTTAGGGCTTCTAGATAGTTTAAAGTTGATCTGCCCCTGCATAGTGCGCAGACAAAGAGTTTTGCAAAATGGTGTGGCACTGCTTTACCGAGGAGGCCGAGGGGCTTTTCGTGAAGAATCGGGATCCCCGCCTTCAGGGGTCCTTAAGCCTCCCATCACAGAGTTTGCCAAAACTCGGGATGCTGGGCTCGCTGGGTTGAGGGTGTCAGGACTCGGGACAGAATGAGGCCCAATGACTTTCACAAGACTAGGCTTCGCTGAGGAGATTCATCAAGATTAGCAAGGAGACTGCGTTTGAAGCTGGGGCAGCTATGAGGTTCTGGCCCAAGCGTGTATACTTGTTGAAGCTCCTCTGCTGCTAGCGAGGGCCGGCCCGGGCTAGTGCGCTCGGACGCTCGGAGAGCCCGACGAGGTTTGGAGCCCCCGATTCCTTATCTCTTGCCCTCCATCCCCAAACCCAAAACCTTCAAAGCCTAGCAGAATGCCGCAAATAATTCGAAGCATGAAAACCCTCGCAGCATACAGCACATCATACGCCTCCAAACTTGAAGCCACATTGCTCGACTTGAGCTTCGTATCCGAAACCTGACACCCCCGCAACACCAATTTCCAGAAGTTCCGAGCTTTTCTAGCAGGAAGATGTGAAGCAACTAAGCCACAAGTGTCGAACTCGTGAAGAGTTTTTGCGGCACCGAAAGGAGATGCATCATCAGAGTCTCCCTCATCATGAAGCCCTATAACCCTATACAGGCATCCTCAGCATCTTCATCCCCAGCGGTAGGGCAGATTCCCACGGAAGACGCTCTCCTGTTTCCCGGAGCAGAGAGCCTCCCACCTGGTGAGGCCCTACAGGATTTTGGTGTAGATTTATGGTAAGGAGCACTACGGGATAATGTTGGTGATTCTTCAAGCTGCTATATTCGGTTTCCAGCTGGGCATCAACGACGTTTTGTGGTATGGTCTATTGTGGACAGATTTCGAGAGAACGCACAGCCTGCATGTACGCCGCTGGTTCATAAACACCCCTCCCGCAATGAGGTCACCAAGCCTGATTAAATGGAGGATTTGTAGGAACTTGAGGGATGTCAGCCACAATACATGAATACTCGGTTTAGTTCGTGGGAACTGCAACGAATGCTGTTCCGAATAGTCCAATCACCTATGAAACCCTATAATTATAAACACCTGACCTATCCACAGACAATGCGAAAAGAACTCATGGAGACAGTTATCCAGCCTGGAATCTAGCCCCATACCTCAGTCCTAAGCCGAGCAAGCTTCAAGGGGCTTGGTCCTTCCTTCCGTATGCCGAAATGCTAATGATGAGTCAATTCTGCGTTAGAAACAGTCCGGGACATAGCTTTGTGTTGCCACCGGCACGGTACATGACAGATTGTGCTGTTTGTTGAGGGTGTAGCATGCAGTACTTCGCGTGGCAAACATCTGAGAGCAATCTGCCAGACCTGCACGCTAAACTGAGGGCAAGGGTAGGGGCGATGCCAAGCCCAAGGCAAAGGCGGGGTGCTCCTTGTTCCGGCGGATCCGCAAGGTCATCCCGAAAGGCCAGCAGAGGGCGGAAAGTGATACGCAAACAAAGAGTAGGGTCATTTTTCAATACGAGATATTATGCGGCAAAAGGTCTCAATACATACCCCAAACATGAGGACCCATGTGATAAGGCCTCCGGAATACGGTACACCTACATTACATGTCCTGAAGCTCCCATATTTTGCTCTGAGCCCCATAGCGCCAAAGCCACCTTAAGCGAAGCGCTTGAGCTCTGAGTTGGCCAGGCTCGCCCTCCATGCCTCGCTGGGCGTAGGGCTTCGGGGGTTTGGGGGCTCATGCATATATGTGTAGATAGATAGATAGTTTTGCCTCCCGCCTGGCTAGGACGAACGATAGATAGATAGATTCGAGCGAGAGAGAGAGAGAGAGAGAGAGACAGAAAGAGAGCCAGCTTATACAGGATAAAAAAAGCCTCGAGCCTCGAGGGTTTCTAGGGCTTTGAAGCTTGGGGTTCACATCAAAGACTCCACGAACCCCATTTTGCGGCTAAATGCTCTGATAAGGGTGCCACCCTCGGTTGCAGGGTCTGAACGGCCGGTGTCTGACATTCCGACCTGCCCATGTTCTGCGGTGCGTGCATCCAACAGAGTCAGAAAACAAACTATAGAAAGTTGCTGCCAGGGTTGCTCTCTTCAAGCTGCTCCAAAATCTCACCTGCGTGAGGATACGAGGCTCAAATGCAGGGCCGAACCTGCACGAGGAAAACGAAACAAGGCAGCGTCCTAACGTAGAGTTCCCACCATAACTTGCACCTGACAAAACAAGAACATATTGTATGAACACAGACAGACACAGAGACAGGAAGCCATCCTACCAATCACTCAACTGCCCTGCGAAACCCGCAAGCCTGCCTACGGCCTCCTTGGCTTTGAAGATGGCCGCATCGTCCGGATCCGACCTGGCACGCAGGACCTCACGGCTTGAGGCTTGGGCACGGAGAATGATCACATACTTTGTTGGTTGTTTTAGTTCCGGCGGCCTCCCTCTGAAATGCACTTTGGAGTTTAGAGGACTTCTGCGCGGGATCACATCAATTGGACCATGTAGTTGAATGTTCGGACAACAGCTCATGGAAAAAAACGATTGCGCAACAGCTTCGGATTTTACCAAAACTCTACACAAATCCTCGAAGCCCAAAATGCGGCGCAGCGTCTCTGCCAAGGCGAGAGGATGGAGGCCGAAAGCTCAGGAAGCTCGGCCGAAAGCCCCACGTGCCAAGGCAGAGAACCACGAGGAGGGTACAGCCATGGCGTTGCATGGCTCTCGCAAAGTTTCGGGGTTTAGGAGTTATAGGCTTCAGGATTTGGAGGGTTGGGGTTCAGGGTCAGGGTTTCTGTTTAAGCGTGGCTCTTTCATGTCCAAATCTTCAACCTCTGGAATGGGGTGGATTATATATGGCCAACTAGAGGCTGAAGGTTGCAACGGCAACCTGCCACAAGCCAGGGCAAGAGAGTGGAGCGGGAGCGGGGAGACTGTGCCAACGCTTTCAAAAAGACTACGACAGGTTTCGAAAGCTTCCCACCTCTAGGCTAGAACCGATATCTAACTTCCCTTTGGCCCTTTGGCAGCAGTTCCCTTGGGAGTCTGGTTTTGAACAGTCTCTGCTTGGGGTTTCAGAGTTTCCTGCTCGAGTTTTGAGTGTCGGGGTCGCTTCAGGGGTTGTTTGATACAGAATCCCAGGCTTGTGTCTGAACCGTCTCGTGCTCCAACGTTGGGGTTTCCAGATCGTGGTCGTAAGTTCTTCAAAACGAATCCAGACTGAACCGGCCCTGGCTCCTGCCACTTCTCCGCTGGCTCAGGAAGAGGTCGACAACCAGACAAGCTGCACCTACAGAACATCAAGAGGCCTCCGAGCCGGAACTTTGTTCTATAAAGGCCTGAAGCACAACTTTACGGGGGCTTTGGCTAGAAGGGCATACCACTTCCAGTTGATTCAGTCCTCCAAAAAACAACACAGGGTGGGAAGGCCTCGGTTGGCCCGGAAGGACCGGGATCCAAATTTGAGTATGCATGCCTCTTCCCAAGCTTGTTCAGATTGTCTTCTTGACAAAGCATTGCAGATCCCATTCACACGCACCTTCCGCTTCGGAGTCTGCTAAGGATTTCTTGAGATGATGCTGCTCCCACTGGTCAGCAACAGTGGTGGCAAGCCCTGTCGGAAAGTCAGGATCATCCCCGGACTGAAAGACAAGCAAGGCAAGGCCTGTTCTCACCCTCCCCGTTGCTCATAGACTCGTAGACCAACACTCTAGCAGCAAAGCGAAAGTTGTCGCTGAAACTGGTGACGAACCGTGGAACTATACTCCCGAAGTAGACTCACCGAGTGATGTGGCTAACGGACTCTGGAATCCCAGGCTCTGCGAACAAAAAGCAGCCCTTGCACCACAACCCAGGCTTCCCAAAGAGAGTTTGAGCGAAGCGAACTTCAAGCACATACAATTATATTGCCTATAGGCAACATTCCCGCGTTGCGCTTGCGTGATGCTGTGCCGCCAGCACCCTTCAACTTATAAACCCTGTGACCTCAACCCTGAAAGCATTCCTTGAGCGCCCAAGCTCGGACACAAAGCTGCAAACCAGAGGCCCCCTGAGGCCCTAAAGCCGCGAACCAAAAATCTCTGAACCCGAGTGACAAGACAGGCCTCAGAAGCGAGCTGCAGCTCAAGAGTGCTTCGGCCGCGCTGCGACCGAGCTGGGGGCAGGCGTCTAACCTTCGTATCACTCGGTTTTGGGGGGTTTAGAACTCCCCAGAAACTTCCTAAATCCTAAGCCCCTAAGCTCGATCCTAATTCCTAGAGTCGACGCACAAGACTGGTTCGCACGGGGTCTAAGAGTGTGTGTAGGGTGTCTGTAGCAGATTGAGTCGGAGATTAGACATCTTTGCCAACAACATAACAAACCCGCCAACTTTGGACAGGCAAAATCAAACCCTCCCAAGATCTCCAGGTCTTCTTCGAATCAGCTGCAGCATGATATGCCCGCAGGCTCTTTAGTTTAAGGCTCGAAGCCATGGATGCTGAACCCCAAAACCTACCCTGAAGCCCCCATTCCCAACCGAAAAACGCACACCGTACCCCTGAAATACCTTCTTGACACCAAAAGCTCAAGCCGAAACCCTGACCCCATGAGGCCTGAACTCCAGACCTATCGCGAGGGGGCAGCTCTTTGAGCCCCTGAGTTTAAGTCCCTTTTGAATTCGACAGATGGCTCCAAGATTCCTGCTGTCCGTGTGTATGCAAACGAATCCCGAAACAGAGCCCTTTTTTGTTTAGAAGCGGGTCTCTTCCCAAACCTCACAGTGAAGCCCTGAAAGCCAAACTCTCCCCATACCCAGACCTCGAAATTCAACCCGTATACCCCTTGAGCTGTAAACCCCAAGCCCTAGCCTAGAAGCCTTACTCTTGAACCCAAAGCCGAAATCCTTGCAAGAAAGCTTACAACCCAACCCTAATCCTCCAGGTCAGGCTTGGCAGCTGCAACGAGCGGAGTCTTGGGCCTTCGACCACCTGCCGCCGAAGGCGTCTTTCGTGGGCAGCGGCATCGCTATGTTAAGTCTCATTTTCAAGTAGGCTGGCTTTGGAGACACTGGGGTAAGGCTGCCACGAGAGAGGAGAAGCCAGGTAAACGGAAGAGGTCTGTGGTGCATCCACGGCGTTCCTCTGAGATGGCATAGGGCTTGAATGCTCTTGCAGCGTGTGGTTCAGGTGGCGGCTTGCTCTGGAGTCTCCCTTCGTGTGCGATTGACTTCCTGCGCCTGGTTCTGGCTTGCTGGCTATACTATTCGTTGAAAATGTCTACAATATATCTCAACTAAGGCAACTAAGGGATCAACAAAGCATCTTATAGAAGGTACAGGGCCTGGCATAGCGGAGTAAGCCAGGCCTGCTACTGCTCCTGTTGAAACTTATCGTCGCACGCGCTGCCATCTTGCAGCCCAGTCACGTGCGCGGCAAAGTCTACGACCTCGGTTCCGACTTCTAAAGCCTAAACCCTAAAAATTATGGTTCGGCTTTGAGACCTCGAGCTTCAGGCCAACTCTAGGCTTCTGTGTCCGCCCAAAGTGTGCGTTAGAATTAGGTGCTGGCGGTGAAGTTTAACAGCTCCCGTACCTCCGTTACTAAGTCCAAACAGTACTGTAATGAATCCCTCAGACATGTCGAAGCTCTAAACCCCGGAACCCGAATCCATCGACAGTTCACGCCACGTACGCTCCCGTGAAGATCCGTGAAGTAACTATATAGCGACGAGGAGAATCACAGCAATAGAGTTTTATGCGGCTTTTTTGCAATCTACAAGAATCTATGACCTCTTCAGATTCGGAACTTTCTTTTATCGTTATAAAGCCAAAAACCCGAAAGGCCCAAAAGCCTACGTTGGTATGCCATGCACATGCTAATAAGATCAAGAATAGTAATCATAATAAGAAAACACTGACATGAAGTCATAGGTCATAGAAATAGAATTTTAATAGTAATTATTATTCACGTTTGCCTAGGCTGAGCTCCTCGCGCCTGCTTCGGTCAGCTGGCGGCCTCACTGAAGGCTTCTTAGGCTTTGCGGACTTGGGGGTTTAGCCGAACCCTACCGAACAAACTAAGGCTTAGCTACTGGTAGGGCTTCGGGTTGTAAGCTTGGGGGTTGGGGCTTAAGGTTTGGCTGATAGGATCCTCAGCAGCAGCGGACGGTGTAGGGGTTCAAGGTTGTAGGGCATTAGGGCCTCTTATGGTCTAGGGCTTTAGGGCTTTAGGGTGTTCGTTTCAGGTTCAGCGTGCAGATTCGCCACGACTCTCCGAAACAACTTCAACGAACAAGTCATTCTCATTTGCAAAGCGGAAGAGTGGGGCCAGTGACGAAAGTGAGATCAAACGCTTGCAATCCAGATTTCTTGTTTGATTGCATGAGATTCGAGCTCACCTAAATAGAATGAGGGTACTAGACAGCTGAAGATGTCCAAGGCGCAACCACAAAGATCCAAATGCCGCAGTCGAGATCCACCACAAAGCTCCTTCAGCGCTCGGTCCGTGAGGCCTGAAGGAACTTTCCAAGCAAGGGGAAGTGCGGCTGGCAAGCACTGTTTTCAAAAGCCAGAGTCGGAGATTGCCAGGCTGATTCCGACAAAACCCCAACATCCCCTACGTCACAGCCAAAGACGTTTTATTTAAACTGTTGAAAACTATGAACAAGTGACCAATGTTGGCCCCAGGAGTTCTGGGCGAGATCTCGGGCGTATACATGTGCGCACTCCTTAGAATTAGAATTGCTCGAGCAGCCCTTGCATAACAGCAAAAAAGCTGCAGAAGGTTGATCCATCTTTTCTCTACTCAGCTTGTTTTTCGGGCGACACCCGCAACAAGCGAAAAAAGATCCCAATCAGAAGTATAATCCTGGAAACTCCCCAAAGCATAGCGCCTTGAAGCTTCTGAACCCCATAAAAACCGGTCAGCTCAGGGTGGAACCTGCAGCCAACGCAAGTGAGAGGCTCGAGAGATGCAGAAGCCTCAGGGCTTTCTGCTCGGTGACCACTCGGTCTCATATTAAGCAGAGAAAAAGAACACTTAGGATTTCATAGAGTTTCGGGCCTCGGGCTTAGGCTCATGGTTCCACAGCAAATCAACGCGAGCACCACGTGCGGTTTTTTCAAGCACTGACTGCTTCTTCCATGCATGTTCGCGGAATGCTCCAGACAACACTTGATAACCCAAAGGACCCAAGCAGTGTTCCAGATTTTCGGAATTTCGGCGCCGCTCGGCCCCGTGTCTGATAAAGCTGAGTCGCGAGGAGATGTAAGTAACTGCGTCGTCCGACAGCCGCGGAGCCTGTCAGTTCCACTTCGGGGATACGATGTACGAAGTCGGCTTTCAGCCTAACGGTATCTTCATCTCAGAGGATGTCCTTGAGGTCAGTAGTGGTAAATACGTAGATCCCGGAATCACCGCCGCCCTCATTCCTCTGTAAATTCGACTCGGCAAGACCGTCAGCGGTTCCCACAAAACTTCCCTGTTTCCCCACCTCTTAAACCCTTCCCAGTGACCCACCCCCCTTCCTATCGAAGACCCCCCCTCCACCCCCTCCTCTTAAAATTGGATTTCGGCTTGGCACCTACGGCGAAGACTCGGCTTGCGGGAGCAGCCCCCCCCCTTCCCTTTCCCCTCGTCTCTCTATTGTGGCGGGCGAAACAGGGCAGGCTAGGTCGGCTAGGTTACATCATTCGTGAAGTTGATGCCAAAGCCTGGGAATTGCGGCGTGCTTTGTTGCAAA